TAACTGCTAAAGTTATAGCTAAATTAAGACCAGAGTATATATATCTATATTTGTATAATCTTATGGGATCAGAAAAGTAATAGAAAACTAGATTAATATAGTTTATTAATAAAAGATAAATGTTACCAAGTAGACACATGTGAAAAGTATGAGGTGTGCCATTCGCCTGCTGTTATAACTGTGGTTAGCCTCGTTAGGAGAGAGCAAACAGGGACAGAAAACAGGGGCAAACTGACAAGACACCCGTCTCCCATGAAGCAGGTTTGGTGAAAGGAAGGCTGTTGGAATGGAGAGCTGACACAGTGGTTTGGATGACTTTGGGGTTTTCTTTTGTTGTTAACTTGGGCAGTCACAGATCAAAATATTTTCTTTCTTTTTTTTTTGAGACGGAGCGTCAAGCTATCCCCCTGGGTAGAGTGCCATGGCATCACGCTCACAGCAACCTCCAACTCCTGGGCTCAAGCGAGTCTCCTGCCTCAGCCTCCCAAGTAGCTGGGACTACAGGTGCCCGCCACAACGCCTGGCCATTTTTTGGTTGCAGCCATCATTGTTGTTTGGCGGGCCCGGGCTGGGGATTCGAACCCACCACCTTAGGTGTATGTGGCTGGTGCCTTAGCCGCTTGAGCCACAGGCGCCGAGCCAATCAAAATATTTTCTAGGGAGGAGTGTGGTATCTGGTTTTGGAATTAGGGAGGATTTCATCTTATTCTGTAAGTCCTAGATAAATATAACTGTTTTTAATAAATTCCGTATTTAACATCCAGTTATTGTTTGTCTCTTATGTCAGATTTTTGATATTGGCACATGTGGATTTTTTCCCTAGAGTCTTTGTGGTTGGTATTTGGAACCCTGGATGCTTTTTTCCCTTACTGTCTTTTTATCTATTCTGCAGGTCCTGCTACAGATATTTTTCAAGTCTACTATACTACATACTTCAAGAAGAAACAAACCCACTCTTTGGGTGCTTTGTTAGAGTAGTAAATATGTGGTTCAAACGGGAGCACTGCTATTCTCAGTATCAGAAGGGCAAGGGGAGTTGGGAAGTGTATCTTGTGGTAGACGCGTTACTTCAGCCCTGATCTCTGCTGTAGGAGAGCTGAGCTGCAGTGACAGCTCTTCCCTTACCTTATCTCCCTTGTCTTTTTTCTTAGGGACTTCTCTTAAAGTGTATTTATAGTTTCTGCCTACCACTCCTGGGTAACAAATCCTATAGGTCTGTAATTTCTGTCGGGTTTGCTTTGAGATTTATTATTTAGGAGTAGGTTAATAAGGCCATGTTAAACTTCTAAGTGGTTTTATAAATACTGATCCTAGCCTGTTCACTTTTTATCTTCCCCATGTGTTTTTCACTTTAACCTATTCTAGGTTGAAGAGAAGCGCATACAACTGGCTCAGGCTGCCCTGAGTCGTGCCTGTGCCTGTTTAGGTGTTCGCAGGCGCACAGGTGCCACGTGGGGGTAGGGTGTGTGACACAGGACCTAAGTGGTCTCACCTCCCTCCTCTCTTTAAGAGGCCTTCTTAAGACCTAAGGACCTTTAATCACTATAAGTTAGGTGGGCCACTGAACAGGTTAAATAAGCTTTTCCTCACAAGCAAGAAGAATGGGACCAGAAGTTTGACTCAAGTTCAGATGAAGCAGAGAAAGAAAAGTGACTTTTGTAAAATATATCATTAGTAGTAGTCACCTGCCACGGTGTAGATTTGACTTTTGAGTCAATGACTCAGTAGTACGTTCTTGAGACTTTTTGGTGCTGGCGCACACATTTATTCAAGATTCTTTCTGCTCCCCCTGCTTCCCCCTTTCCTGTACTGTGTTTATCGTCATTGAAGAAAAAAAAAAAGGAATGCATATAATTTACCAAGGTTTGAAAATTGTTTTCAAATTGTCATGGTACCTGCTGAAGACACTTACATTTTTTAAATTTTTACGGATATATAATAATTGTATGTATTTATGGAGTTCATGTGATATTTTGATACAAGCATATAATTTTAAGAGCTTCATAAAATCAGGGTGGGAATCAGGGATACTATATTGATAAAATGAGAAAAGCAAATAACATTGTTCATGCCACTTTCCCCTAAAAGCTTGGAATACTTTTAGCCCAGAATAGAAGGATGTTCTGTATAATTTGGCTGGCATATAAATAGGTGAATTAGAAAAATTTTTTAAAAAATGGTATCATTTTATGTTTCTTATTGTCTCAGCTACTTAAACATCAGTGAGGAATAACTAGTGACTTTTTTTTTTTTTTTTTTTTTTTTGAGACAGAGCCTCAAGCTGTCCCTCTGGGTAGAGTGCCATGGCTTCACTGCTCACAGCAATCTCCAACTCCTGGGCTCAAGCGAGTCTCCTGCCTCAGCCTCCCAAGTAGCTGGGACCACAGGTGCCCGCCACAACGCCTGGCCATTTTTTGGTTGCAGCCATTATTGTTGTTTGGCGGGTCCGGGCTGGGGATTCGAACCCGCCACCTTAGGTGTATGTGGCCTTAGCCACTTGAGCCACAGGCGCCGAGCCATAACTAGTGACTTTTAAAGTGTACAAACACTTACAATTTTGACCCAAATTGCACAAAAGCCCTCCATATAACCAGAATGTTTTTTTTTTTTTTTTTTTTTTTTGAGACAGAGCCTCAAGCTGTCCCCCTGGGTAGAGTGCCGTGGCATAGCTCACAGCAACCTCCAACTCCTGGGCTCAAGCGAGTCTCCTGCCTCCGCCTCCCAAGTAGCTGGGACCACAGGTGCCCGCCACAACACCCGGCCATTTTTTGGTTGCAGCCGTCATTGTTGTTTGGCGGGTCCGGGCTGGGGACTCGAACCCGCCACCCTAGGTGTACGTGGCTGGCGCCTTAGCCAGCTGAGCTACAGGCGCCGAGCCCAGAATGTTTTGAAATAAAAGGAAATAAACTGTGTGAGCATGCTATGAATCTAAGCATAGTCTAAATTAGTTTAATTCTATAAGGTAAAATGAAGAAAATTATTAAATATTATTAAATTAATTATTAAATATAATTTCCTCACCCTGAAACAGTAGTTTAGACATCCTTTTATTTATTTACTTATTTATTTAGAGATAGAGTCTCAGTCACCTGGGGTTGAGTGGCCTGGCGTCATAGCTCACAGCAACCTCAAACCCTCTTGCTCAAGCCATCCTCTTGTCTCAGCCTCCTGAGTAGCTGGGACTCCAGGCACCTACCATAATGTCCAACCAGTTTTTCTATTTTTAGTCGTGACGGGGGTCTCACTTAGCTCTGGCTGGTCTCCAACTCCTGAGTTCAGGTGATCTTCCCACCTCGTCCTCCCAGAGTGGTAGGATTACAGGCATGAGCCACCATACCTGACCTAGATGTCCTTTTAAAACTACATACTAAATAGATTCTTCACTATTACACAGAATTTAGTTTTTATTTATTTTTAAAGAGCTGGTTATTTGGTTTGTTACTATAACATTGCTGTATCTCTTTTTGACTTCTGGATTAGGGACAAAATTTATGTATATCTTTGCTATTTTGATAATAGTTAGCATCTAATCTTTAATGAGAGTATGGTCATTTAGGAGTGTTGGCATTTGTAAGGTTTAAGTACATTTTGTAGCTATGCTTTAATGAATGAATAGGCAGGTTTCACATTTAGAATGATCTCGGAAGAAAATATTAGTATACTTTATAAAACATCTGATTATGAGGATATTGCAAACACAGATTATTAATTCAGAGTATTTGTGCAGGTTTTTAAAGAGCAGACCATCTTTACATTTTGATGATTATAGTTGTATTTGTGTTGCCGTTTGGGAAATAACAAAACTAGCATGTAAAACTGCCTTTTCAAGGAGCAAAGTTTAGAAATTAGGGCCTTTATATTTTTGTTTTTTATTTGTATTAAGATATTAAAACAGGCTACTTGTTACTGTTGAGAAATTTCTCTTGGTGGATGACTAAATTTATCCATTTATAATCGGTGTGTAACATTTAAATGTAAAATTTCCCACTAAGCAAGACACGCCAATTACGCATTACATTCTCATTTCAAAGCTAGTTTAGGATAACTTGTCTGTGTACTTCGGAGGCTAACTTATCTTTGTCTAAACTTGTTATTATTTCTTTGTAAAATTTTAACCTGTATTTTGAAGCCATCTTTTCAATTATGTTAAAACAGAATCTTGGTGTAATGAATCAAACAACTTTTTTTTCCTTTAAGTTTCATTTTTATGGGTGTATGTATGTTTCACCCAATAGAAATTAGTATGCACTCATTCAGAGTGAGCCGACTCAGCGTTCAGAGTTTCTGTTACTGTGGATTTTACCCTTTGTTGGTATTCTACATTTTTTCCAGAAATGTCAGAGTGTGGATAGTCATTTGGGTTGACATTGTGCCCTACTTATAGTATAATTTAACTGAGGCTTCACTGGATACTTTAGAAATGGTATTTGAATGATGTTGTATCACATTTTTATTGAGGAATCAGCAGTGTTTTACATGAGTCTTTTAAAAAAGATTTTTGTTTATATCAAGTCGACCTGTAGATATGTAGTTTTGCTGTGCTTTATCACATAAGAAAATAGTTAACCTTTTGCAGTTTTTTGATTTTTCTCTTTCTGTAATGGGGTAGGTATTGGTAGTAGGAGGAGAAAAATGATTATCTCCTAATAAAACTTACCTTGTGAAGATCTTATGTCTTCTTCCTGCAGATCAGATTTCTCTTGCCTGAAGAGTTAAGTTCTAAATGTTAATCTGTATTTTTAAAATGATAACAACTATTTCTGATACGTCTCACCCTGATATATGTATAAAAAGTTTTTTAAAAAATATGGATTCCTATTAATGTTGTTTTGTTCAAATAGACAAAAAACGATTTCTGATATGGGGAAAATGTCAGTGGGCTTTTGTATTGTTTTGAAGACCTTTAACTTTAGCATATAAAATTCTCTTAACAAAATGTGTATTATTTGGGAATTTTAACGTTATGTTTCTTTATAAATGTGTTTTTTGTCTCCATTTAGATCTGGAATACCTGATGCATGCAAAACAACAGCTAGTAACCACAGCTAAGCGTTGGGATTCTTCTTCTAAAACTATTATAGATTTTGAACCTAATGAAACTACTGATTTGGAGAAGAGCCTTCTTATCAGATACCAAATTCCTCTCTCTGCTGACCAGCTATTTACCCAGTCCGTTTTAGACAAATCATTGACCAAGAGCAACTATCAGTCACGGTTGCATGACCTTCTTTATATTGAGGAGATAGCCCAGTATAAAGAAGTCAGCAAGTAAGTTACTCTAGAAACACTTAAAAGAAAATCTTCTCTTTGGATGGTATTTTTAATTTTTAACACGCACCTATGCCTAAGTGAAGACAGGTAGCACATTGTTGTTACTCAGTAGCTGTATTCTATCTTTATGTGATATGTGAGCATCTTTGTATTAAGTTGTAAAGCGCGCGTTCTCTCTCTCTCTCTCTCTATTTTTTTATTTTTATTTTTTTTGCAGTTTTGGCCGGGGCTGGGTTTGAACCCACCACCTCCGGCATATGGGGTCAGTGCCCTACTCACAGCGCCACAGGCACTGCCCCCATATGTCAGCTTCTTAAGGCGAAAACTGTGTTGTGCTCATCTTAGTTACTATTCCCACTGTTTAGTGCATAGTTTGTTTCTACAAGACCTTCCTAGGCGTCCACTGGGGGATAAGCTCTTTGCCACGTGTGGGGAACATAAGTCTGTGGTCCCTGCTCTTGAGGAGCTTTCAGTTACTGATAGTCATAGCAGCACTCAGTGGATATTTGTTGAATTGAAAGCACAAAAACAGATCATGTATTTTGAAAAGTTACTTTAAAAATGGTACCATTTAGATCTTCAGGAAGTCTGATAGTAATTAAATAGATTTATGGGAGTTTGCAATACTTGAACATATTTTACATTTTATTCCTATGCCATAGATTAAGAGCAAGTGCTTAGGCCAGGCTCATGCCTGTAATCTTAGCTCTCTGGGAGGCCAAGGTGGGTGGATTGCTTGAGCTTACAGGTTCAACACCAGCCTTAGCCAGAGTGAGACCTCATCTCTAAAAAAAAGTAGCTAGGCATTGTGGTGGGCGCCCGTAGTCTCAGTTATGTAGGGGGCAAGAGAATCACTTGAACCAAACCCCGCCCCCCAAACAAACAAAAAACCCCAGATGCTTAAATCAAAAGCTTATTTGAATCATTTTAGGAAAAGCAATCTTAGAAAACAAAGTTTGAGGCTGGGTGGCTCACTCCTCTAATCCTAGCACTCTGAGAGGCTAAGGCTGGGGGCTTGCTTGATCTCAGGAGTTTGAGACCAACCTGAGCCAGAGCAAGAACCCATCTATACTAAAAATAGAAAAACTAGCTGGGTGTTGGATTGGGTGCCTGCACTTCAGCTACTTGGGAGACTGAGGTTAGAGGATTGCTTGAGCCCAAGAGTTAGAGGTTGCTGTGAGCTGTGGCATCGTGGCAGTCTACCAAGGGTGATAGAGTGAGACTGTGTCTCAAAAAAGAATAAAAAACCAAAAGAAAACGTTTGAGTGAAGGAAGATGTTTGTTAATGAGCTACTGTAATTGTTTTTGGCCTCCTTTTTAGATATCTGACATAAAGTATGGAGATGAGCCTTAAAAATTGAAAAACACTGTGATGATGCCACTGTACTCTAGCTCAGGTGACAGAGCAAGATTGTCTTAAAAAAATTATGAGACATGAAGGTATTTTTAGAAGTAGTTTTCCTTTCTTCTCCAAGCTGTCTTGTTGGTACCTTTTTTTAAAAATTTTTTTGCTTGCTTAGTCTGGTCTTGAAGTCCTGAGCATAGTCATTCCTCCTGCTTTGGCCTCTCAAAGTGCTGGGATTAGAGGCGCGAGCTACCGTGCCTGGCCCTTATTTTTAGTATTATTAGTAGATACTGAGCACTCATTAAGGTATGTTCAGAAAAGTAAAAGTGAAAACTTACAAATACATTGTGTTACTCTGTTTATAGATTGAATATGCTCTAACTTTTAAAATTATCTAATTTCAAATTAAATACATGTAAAAAAATACAGAATGTATTTTTCATTATTCTAAGACTTTAGGTCATGGACCACTGATGGTCTCTTGAAAGGTTTTTATTAGATGTGTCTGTAGACTGTTCTAATGAGATCACTAGTTATTAAATAATAAGGACAGTGGCTTGTATTATGGATCTTATTTATGTTATTAAGATACATGCATATTATTTACATTATCAGGATTCCTTTTCCTTAGGTGAGAACACTATGGTAAATCATAAATATTGAGATAAAATAGAATTTAAAAGATTACTATATCTTGGAGACTTTTTTGAGTATCATATTAGGAATTCAGAAAAAGTTACTTATTAACTTTTATTTGTTTAATAATTTATTAAAGTTTATAAATCATTCCGTTACCTTAGACCTTACAAGTAAAGACCGTAAAGCTTATGGATTATTATATTAAAAATAACCTTTTAAAAATGGAAATTTGTCTGAATGGAAAGCAGAAGAAACCTTACAAAATGCTGGAGGTCAGATACTGGTCAAGAAATAAGAGATTCGGGCAGCACCTGTGGCTCAAAGGAGTAGGGCACCGGCCCCAGATGCTGGAGGTGACAGGTTCAAACCCAGCCCCAGCCAAAAAAAAGCAAAAAGAAGCAAAAAAAAAGCAAAAAAAAAAGAAACAAGTGATTGAAAGTTCACTCTAAGAGAACCTTGTAAGGGCTTTCTAAGCCAATATCCAAGGGTCTTAAAAATGATAGGAGCCACTGGTGGTAAATTAAGTTGGTTTGATCCTTCTGGAGAGCTGTTTGATTAAGAAAGTTGGAGTCTTTTGATATGGTAGTTCTACATAACCTGCAGCCGTCCCGAAGAAGATAATCACAGGTGAAGATAAAGATGCCTGTACATGAATGTCTTTCAAAGGGCAGTGGAGAGTAAGTTGCATGTGGCCGTATGACGGAATGTTACTCACATGCAGCCGTTGAAATTACGTTCCTGGAGAATTTTTAATAAAGTGGTGATGCTCATGTTATCCTGATATGAAAGGAGAAAGTAGGCTAGTTAGGAAACCTTACACCCTGCCCTTCTAATTTTGTGTATTCATATAACACACATAAAAATATGTTTTTGTATAAAAGTGTCAAAAAATAGTGTTCTGTTGGTGGAATTATAGGTGATTTTTATGTTCTGTTGTTTTTTTTCTATGTTTGAAATGTTCTCCAATGACCACATATACCTTTTATGAAAACATCATCAGGGACAACACTTGGTGCTCACGGTGTGAGATGCTCTTAGATACGGAAGGAAGAGACGGTGGGAAGGCAGCAGGAGGGGAGTGCAGAGTCTTTATGGGAACATCGGGGTCTTCTCTATTTTATATCTTTAAAATTAGGTTATAGTTATTGACTCAGATATGGGTATTTATGAAGTAAATACAAATCAGGAGGATCACTTTAATGTTTTATGAATGCAAACAACACAGGAGGTTTGGAGGAGCTTGAATGTAGAAATGGGACTCTCCTGCTGCACGTGTAACATGTGACAAGTAGAAAGTTACTGTTACTGCCAGAGAATTCTGGAAGATTTCTAGTGGTACTTTTACCCAGAAGTAACCCTGGATATTAAGGCTGGTAAACTGGTTGTGCTTGTAAAATTTAGGAAAGTGCAGTACAGAATTGCCACACATACAAAGCCTGTCAGTAATTAGAGTTTTCAGAGGGCATCCGCTAGCAGGTAGACAAGGAGCAAATAACAGACATAGATTGTAAAGGTTTGCAGAAGTCTTTGACGAGGTTTCATTTGTTGTTTAAAAAGATTATTTTGTTTTTGCTCCTTGAACTTAATATTTATGTGTATTTTAATGTTGCATTTAATTTTAATTCACATTTGATTTCTAATTCTTTAAGTACCAATAACATAATTAACATATTTTGAAAAATGGATTTGGGGGAGGTCTGTATGCAGCTACTAAACTGTGATCTAGTGCAGGGCTTAGTAAACCTCTGCTGTAGATTAGGGCTAGATAGGAGGTAGTTCAGATCTTTAGCCCGTACACTCCCTTTTTTTTTTTTTTTTGAGACGGAGCCTCAAGCTATCCCCCTGGGTAGAGTGCCATCACACTCACAGCAACCTCCAACTCCTGGGCTCAAGCGAGTCTCCTGCCTCAGCCTCCCAAGTAGCTGGGACTATAAGCACCCGCCACAACACCTAGCCATTTTTGGGTTGTAGCCATCATTGTTGTTTGGTGGGCCTGGGCTGGGGATTCGAACCCGCCACCTTAGGTGTATGTGGCTGGCGCCTTAGCTGCTTGAGCCACAGGCACTGAGCCAACCCCGTACACTCTTGGTGGCATTTCTTCTTTGTTTCTTTGTAAAATCTGCTCTTAGTCAAGGGCTATACAAAAACAGCCTCTGGCCCTTGAGAGCCGTGCTCTAGTGTGTCTCATTGGGTCATCTGACTTGTTTGGTCAATCATGCCAGTCATCAGAGCAAGCCCAAGCATATATTAGAATTGTGAAGAACGTATGTTTGTGCTTTGAGAAGCAGTTTAAAGATAGAAAACAATGGAGTGGCTAAATGGACGCATTTCTCCAAATGACTTGGACATGTATCGATAGTAATAGGTGTGTTCTGTACGCCCTGAAATAGGCCTCTTTGTGATGTTGTAGTCAGACCTCCCACGTGACTGGTAGGATATTTCCTAGAGTCCACAGAATGTATTTGTGAACTTGGACAATTTTAGCAGCATATTACGAGTCACTAAAGTATCAAGGGACGTCATACTGTTAAGGATGTACCTGTTAATGGTCATCTTAGTATTTCTTCCTTGAAAGTTGAATGAAGGCTTTCAAGGTTGGACAAAAGGTATTTTGGCTTGAGGCTGCATTTACTAATCCAGTTTATCTTTTTTTAAAGAGGTGATTGTACAGACCAGTGCAGACATGACAATTTCTTCCTAAGTTTTAGTGTGAGATGTGTGTAAGTGGTAAGGATACTGCATTTCGTGTCATTTAAGTTTCAGAAAATGTTTCTGAGTTCTTTGGAGATTGATTTGCTTGTTTACTTTTCTCACCCTCAGCTGTAAGTTGATGTGGGTTCAATAATGATTCTACTTGGAAGTGAAATCTGTTTGATTCTAAGAGATACATTTTCAGGAGAAATTGACTTTAGCTGAAGTGCTTCTGTCCATTAACCTGAGTGGTGCTGTGTCCAGACCCACAGTAGAGAAGGAGTCTTGCTCTTGCTCAGGCTGGTCTCCAGCTCCAGAGTTG